CAGGTAGATGTTGAAGTGTTGTGAAGTGTGGGAGTGAGGATCTGTTTCTTTAATTTGGGGGCTAGATGGCAGTTCCCTTCCAGTTCAGATGCATAGCAGTACGTCTCTAAGGACATTCGTAGACTTTGGAATTATGATTTTTATTGAGTTCAGAAACATTTGACTTAAAAGGGTTGTAGAAGGATAAAGGTGTTTTCTACTGTTGCTACTTCATTAAAATTGTGTTGTGGATGATTGTGAAAATTATTTTTTTTTATTCTGTTCTCTCTCCCCCTTCTTCTGTTTTCAGGAGAGAATAGAGTACTCAAAAACTTTCCAGGGAAAATACTTTAATTTTTTGGGTTATTTTTTCTCCATATATTGTGTCTGGAAAATCTTCATGGTACGTACATGTTTTATGAGAACATAAGCAAATGTTACACCCTGCATAGGTGTGCCTACAGCCCATCAAATAATGCCCTAGTTGCCTTAAAATCCTGCTTCTGGAAATTCTGAAAGAAACTGCATCCCTGTTTTTGTATAGAGCCTCAGACAAGCATTCTTACATGTGTGCATTTGTCACCTTCGACAGTCTTCATTGCTCCCTGTCCTTAGTTACACAAAGTAGGAGTCATATGTGTCTCATGTAAGAGTGAGGTATGCTTTTTGTTTTCTTGTTTGAATATCAATCCATTTATTTCTTGCAGGCAACCATCAATATTGTATTTGACCGTGTGGGGAAGACTGATCCAGTCACAAGAGGAATTGAGATCACTGTAAACTATCTGGGAATCCAGTTTGATGTGAGACTATTAATTCTTACAGCCTTTTCAGGAATTCCTGCCTTATCTAAATAATAATGCTGCTGACAGGGAGAGAGTGATAGAACTCTGAGAATGTGCCTCTGACTTCTGACTGAGGAGGAAGGGAAAATACACCTTGAACTTTGCTTTCACACTGATTTTATGCTGGGATGGTAATGTAATCATTGCCAGAGAGGCAATGATTTGCTTTTTAGTTTTGGGCAAATGGAAATGTGCTAGTCACCTTGCTTAGATTAATACATTTATCTACAGAGTAATCATGTCTGCCTTACACACTGGTGTTCTGTCATTTACACCTTCTAAATAGATCCCTGTGAATATTTGTGATTGTTTTCAACTAAACCTGTTTTTCTCTTGTGTTTGGAGTAAACAGTTGCTAATATGTTTGTGAAAATGTCTGTTATGTAAACCTGTCTGCTATGGATATCTGTACAATTAAGACCCTGAAGAATTGGCAGCTGCACAAAGTCATGTAAATGGGGCTAGCATTAGAGTTTGAACTGTATTTTTCTTGTTTACACAGGTAAAATTCTGGTCCCAGCACATTTCCTTTATTCTTGTTGGAATAATCATTGTTACCTCTATCAGAGGATTGTTAATCACACTTACAAAGGTAAGAGCCTTTTGGACCAGGAAAGCTGTTAACAGACCTTTAACTTTAGCTGGGACAAATACTGTATAAACTTTCAATACACATTCATGTTTTAAATATCTTAATATAAATACTTGCAGAGACAGGAAGGGAGGAAAAGTATGTTCTGCAGTATTTCCCCCACTCGCTCTCTATTGTTACTACTATTGGGAAGAGATGTGGATGTTAAATGAGATGTTAAATGTAAGCAAGGGTTCAAAATTATGATGTAGCCAGGACGCATTAGTAAGGTTGGTGGGATGGTGATTAAAGGAATTTAGATTGCTTAATTTGAGCTGCTGGTAGGACTGGAAAGGCATTAACTCAAGAGACATGTGATTAATTGTCTTGACCTGGCTTTTGGTACCTGAGCTTAAACTTCAAGATATATTCTTATATGACTTTTACCACGTGGTGGCACTGGCTTAGGAAGATTCATGTTTAAGGCTAAGACTGCAGATTTCTGACAGTGGAGTACAGGCACCACTCCAGAAAGTATGCATTTAATTGTTTTATTCAGTGAAGAAGCATTGAATGGTATGTAGCTTTCATGTTGTCCTAAGGTACATTGGACTTACCTGGCTGCTTATTTCCAGTACTTTGTTTTCCCCCCTAGTTCTTCTATGCCATTTCCAGCAGCAAGTCCTCCAATGTTATTGTTCTGCTTTTAGCACAGATAATGGTGAGTATGGAGCACTGTGTGCATGCCTGTATTCATATATGCATGCATATGTTTTTGTGTGTGTACATATGCACATAATAAAATCTTTGTGTGCTGACCCATGTTAGGCACATAACCAATTACTGTGAAACAATAATTACTTTCTTTTTATTCATTTACAGGGTATGTACTTTGTGTCATCAGTGCTCCTGATCCGGATGAGTATGCCTCTAGAGTATCGCACTATTATTACAGAAGTCCTGGGAGAGCTCCAGTTCAACTTTTATCATCGTTGGTTTGATGTGATATTCCTAGTTAGTGCACTGTCCAGTATCCTCTTTCTCTATTTAGCACACAAACAAGCCCCAGAAAAGCACATGGCCCTCTAACTAAGGACTGCAGTCACACACTGCTCTCAGCCCTTTCAGCTGCACTGCTGCAACTCCTGTGGACTGCAAAGCTTGAAGAAGGCCAGGACTATCCTGTTTTCCAGCAGCGTGACTGACTCTTAGAACTTCTACATATCAACATCAAGCTCTGTGGCTCATTTTGTTAAGGTGCCACAGCTTGAAGGAAAGGGAATACATGTATTGAATGTGAGAGTTTATTGCAAAGGAATGAGGGTGCTCCTCGGTACCTCAGTATCTAGGGGCATCGGATTTGCATATTAGGCTGTTGGAGGTAAGACCTCATACTGTTAGAAGAGTATCTTCATAGAAGGCACCAAGGAAATGTGATTTTTATTTTGAAAATCAACCCATAACGGGGATTCAGAGGATGGCAATTCTGCAGTTGAATGTTTGAGTCTATGGAATTAAATAAGCTCTTATAATATCTCATGCAAGCATCACAGTTGTTTTTTGTAAGCCCCAAAGATTTAACTGGAAGTGAGCTAGTAAGTCACTAGAATTTGCTGGCTGGCAGAAGCAGAGAGAATTTTGCTCCATTTCTGTATGGAGTGTATGCTAGTGAGTATCACTAGTGGACCTGATGCTCTTACGAGCTGCAGACTAGCTTTCTATAGCAGAGTCTCAACTTTTGCTTTCTTTCACTGCATAAATGGAACCGAGGTTTTTGATTACTCTTTGCTAGCGTTCAGTGTGAAGTCAAAGACCACAACTATGTGTTGTTTACCTTATGCGGTAAAATTTTCTTTACCTTGGATGCTGTACATTTGGTGTTACCCACAACCTCTGTATTTTTCTACAGTAGACCATTTTCCTTTCTTGAAAGGCATAGAAGTGTCCTGGTTTGAGTCAGGATTAAGCCACTTTTCCTTTTACTGCTTTTTTTTTTGTTTGTTTTTTGTTTTTTCCTTCAGTAAGCTTTCTTTTAGCCAGCAGCAAAGTGTTCCAGCTTGGAATGATAACAAACCCTGGAATGTTTTTTTAATTGCTGGAAGTCCAAGGTCATGTCTTTGCCAGCTCACACACTATGGGGAGATCTATGACCCCCACATAGGAGGACCTCCATCCCTCCATCCCTCCATCCCTCCATCCCTCCATCCCTCCATCCCTCCATCCCTCCATCCCTCCATCCCTCCATCCCTCCATCCCTCCATCCCTCCATCCCTCCATCCCTCCATCCCTCCATCCCTCCATCCCTCCATCCCTCCATCCCTCCATCCCTCCATCCCTCCATCCCTCCATCCCTCCATCCCTCCATCCCTCCATCCCTCCATCCCTCCATCCCTCCATCCCTCCATCCCTCCATCCCTCCATCCCTCCATCCCTCCATCCCTCCATCCCTCCATCCCTCCATCCCTCCATCCCTCCATCCCTCCATCCCTCCATCCCTCCATCCCTCCATCCCTCCATCCCTCCATCCCTCCATCCCTCCATCCCTCCATCCCTCCCCATCGACCCCTGGGCTTGAGCTCTCCTGACCCTCATAACTCTGCGCTTTCTCTTGGGCAGCTCCAGGACTTTTTGGGACTGTTTGCAACTAAGGAGAGTGCTGTGGGAGTTGCTGGGGGTGGGAGGAGGCAATAGGGGTTTTGCACATGTCCTGAACACATTTGTGTATAATTGTATATATTTTCTTTTATCATTAGTGTTTAATTAAAGCTGTGTAGTTTAGTTTTCAGTCCAGTAAAGTCTCTCTCTTTCTCTCTCTCCTTCCCTACCTGGGGGGGAGGGGATCGAGAGCATTGTTGTCGATCCTGAGTCAAACAGTGACAACAGTTAGTGGTGCCCAACGTGGGGCTCGATTTTAAGTCCAGGTTATAAATTTTCATGACAGACACTTTCTGTAATGTATATGCTGGACCTTTTGCCCAACGTGCAATTGTATATCTGGTATGCAGCCAGCATACTACTCTGTATAGTTGCTCTTGTTATTGTTTTATAGTTTATTGACAGAACTGTAGCCATAATCAACCATATAATTACCAGCCCAGTGATCCTAGGGTTTATGATACTGATCTTTAAGGGGCACTGTATGTATACAGTTATGGTACAGTGAATGGAAAGGTCCGTGTTGGTAATGCCAGTAGCAGGTTCAGTTCCACCTCTCCATTTTCTTTCAAGCTGAATCTGCCAGCTCTTGATCTGAATAGCATTGTTGCAGTAGGGATGCTTCTGCTGAAATTATGGTGAATAGGTAGGGTGAGGTGTGGTTCCACTCCCTGCCACTCCCCCACAGGCAATGCTGCTGCCACGACCCTCTGCTGAAATGGCCACTCATACTGCTACAGAAACAGCTGCTTATGCTAGTGCTGCTACAAAAACGACTGCTTCTGCAAAGATTAAGTCTGCTCCCATTCAAATCAAACTAGTTAAACCTCTGACCAGGAGCAAAGCAAAGGCAAAATGCTCCTCCCTTTTTACATGCTCCCATCTTCAGGCAATGATACAGACTGAAACTGAGGAAGCAGAGGATTCTAAATCAGTTGATGGAGCAGGTACCTCTCAGATAAAAAATCAGACCACTCTCAAGATAGGACAGCAGGCCTCAATTAGGTGACGATGATGACCTTGTCCAGCCTTTCTCTGAAGGAACTATGCCTCATGAGAAAGGATTTCACCCACACTGACAATGAGGGAATTCTTCCTTGGCTGCTCTGATGCTTTGATAGTGGTGCTGAAACCTATAACATGGATGAGACAGAAGCCAAGCAGTTGGGATCTCTGGCCAGAGATGCTGGGTTGATACTACTTACTTGGAAGTAAGCTGGGAACTACCACCCTGTGGGACCGACTTCTTTCAGTTGTGAAGCAGCACATGCCCATATATTCTCCTTCATGGGATGCTTTGATGATGATGCAAGGCCAGCTGTGTGTGAGATGGCTTTCAAAGCACGATGGTATGAAGACATAATCTCTGACTCCCATCAGTTTCACACCTCAGCCATTGAACAAATGACTGACAGAAGAATAAGATGCCGAATAGATGGGGAGGTAAACCCCAGAATTTCCCTAGACACAATTGGTCACGTGTTGCAGCCATTAAGAAGAGATGTCCTGCTATGAGACAGCAGTGAGAGAGACAGGACCCACTGCAACGCCACCTGTGGTCTCTCTTGCAAAATTATTTTAAAGAGGACATGAGAATCTGGGACAAGAAACCTACTGATACTCTCCAGATATGTGTGCAGGAGATACTAAACAGAACAAAGTCAGAAGAGATGGTTCTTCCAAGAAGAAGGCTGCACTAGTCATCACCCAAGATAGTGCATCAAACTCTAATGCTCAATATTAGAGGTGCCCTGCCTCCAGCCAGGGGGAGTAGAGGGACAGAAACTTCTTTAGTTTTTTCTAAAAACTTCTTTACTGTGAGAGTGACAGAGCACTGGAACGGGCTGCCCAGAGAGGTTGTGGAGTCTCCTTCACTTGAGACATTCAAAACCTGCCTGGACAAGTTCCTGTGTGATGTGCTCTAGGTGATCCTGCTCTCCCCGGGGGGGTTGGACTAGATGATCTTTCAAGGTCCCCTCCAACCCCTAAGATTCTGTGACAACTGAGTTTACTGGACTGTGTGAATTCGGTGGCCTGGCACATTAGAACCACAAAGGTATAAAGCTTTGGTGGACACTGGTGCACAGTGCACACTAATGCCATCGAAACATAAAGGGACAGACTCTGTCACTATCTCTGGAGTGACAGGAGGTTCTCAACAACTGAGTGTTGTGGAGGCCCATGTGAGTCTTACTGGTAAGTGGTGGCAAATGCACCCTATAGTGACTGGCCCAGATGCTCTGTGCATCCTTGGCATAGACTATCTCAGGAAAGGATACTTCTGTGACCCGAAAGGGTATGGTTTGGCCTTTGGTATAGCAGCTGTAGAGACTGAGGACACTGAACAGCTGACTGGCTTTCAGATGGCCCTTCTCTGGTGGGGTTGCTGAAGGTTGAAGACCAACAGGTGCCAATTACCACTTCAATGGCACATGGACAATATCGGACCAACAGAGACTCTGTGATTCCCATTCATATGCTGTTCTGGCAATTGGAGAGCCAGGGAGTGATCAGCAGGACTCATTCACCCTTCAACAGTCCTATCTGGCCAGTGCAAAAGTCTGATGGCCGGTGAAGGCTGACAGTGGACTATTGCGGTCTGAATCAGGTGACACCACCACTCAGTGCTGCTGTACCGGACATGCTAGAACTTCAGTATGAGCT